CCATGGTTCGCGGAAGATTACGAACCATACGGGGGTGGAACTAGAGGGTTGTATTCGGGGATTCATTCCCAGACGTAAAATTTTAGAGGGTGTAATATTTGAAATTATTAACAACTGATTTAATATTTTTAACTTAGTTAAATACCGATATTAGGTAAAAACTCGATAAGTATGATTGTTGGAAAAAAAATATCTCGAGAAGAGTATTTGATTGTTAGTCTATATAGGGCGTAATTTTAATATATTCCCCGGGCGTAAAAATTCCTAGTTCTGGAATCGCATCGTTCGCTCGTTCACCGTAAAACGAGCGACTTGAAATGCGACGTGAGCCCGTGTTATCGTTGTATATTGGTATTTTTCCCGTTTTCGTCGAATCGTGCACGCGGCCGCGTTATCGTCGAACGGTCGGGACCGCGCGGAAAACCACCTCCGTCGTGTTCGCATTCCGCCGGCCGGGTAATTAGCCATTATTATGTTAACGGCTCAGCGCGCGGCCGATTACCGATCTGAAAAACGAGCCGGGCCGTTATTATTACCGCGTGCACATGCACGGCTCGACGGCGAACGCGAACGGCCAGAGGGAAAAAATAAAATAAAAAACAATGTACATACGTGTTGTGGCTAATAATCGCGTTTTTCTCTGGTCCGCGTGCAACACGGACCGTGGAATCTCTCCTTGAAAACGGTAAAGGACGACAATAATGGTAATCGGAACGCGACGGCGGCGATGGCCCGAGGACTAGGAGAACGCGCGTGAATTACATAGCGCTCGCGTACTCACGTCAGTTTCATCTAGGCCCAAGCAAAAATAGTGCACTAGACAAAATCAAATTTTACCGCTTCTAAAAAAAAAAAAATCAAGCTCATATTTTAACTTAGCCACTTCCCCTATTTTTTATGTGATATATCTGCGTTAAAAAAATTAAATTTTTTATTTTATGTACAAAATAATACGTAAAAAGACTTGAGAATGATTTCTATAGTTATCACCACAAAACCCATCACTATCGCGACTGTCGGAAATCGCAGAAGTGATTGTGTGGTTATTTATATTTTTGGAATGGTTAAAAATGCCCAGCGTAGCCCGTAACATAAAGTAATACAATAACTTTAAACATTATTATTTTATTACATTGGTAAGCGGTTTTCATGAATAAATGAATTTAAATATTTTTCTTATAAAGCACCGATAGAACTAAAAAAAAAGTACTAATCAATTTTGAAAATACCACCCCTACTAAAGTTTGGTAATCATATCTACTTTTTATAATATTATATTCTTGATAAAAACTAGAACGATAAGGATTCAACAAACTCAAAACGTTGTATCGTAATATTAGAGTATTAAATTTATCTTGGAAGGCGGTCGATTGTTACAAACAGGACAATTATTGCTTTTCTAGTTGTTCGCAGAGAAACGCGACCAGTGCTCGAGATGGAAAATTTTCTGAACCAGAACTCTTTTTTTTTTTTTAAAACATACTATAGGATTTGGGGCTTTAACATACCATAATTATAATTTCCCCTTCCTGAAATACTAAGCCTTTTTTAATACATAAATTGTACCTACTATTTATACTGTTTTAGTTAAGATTATATTTTGGTAAATTATTTTTTTTCATCTCTGATGCTATGTGAAGTGCTATATCCAAAGATATTTTATTAGAGTGTAAAATGTTTCCTATATTCATACCATTTAAAACTTGTTAATCTATTATCTATTTAATTTGGTAAATCAACAAAAGGTCTTCGAGTTTTTACAATTTTATAAATAATTCTAAACACTTTTTCGGTAGTCATGAACTTTGATTTCAATACTTTCAATAATTTGATTCCGAAACTTTTTTCTATTTGTTTTTATTTTAATTATTTATGTAATTCTAATGCTTTAAGAAAAGCATCATATTTTTTGTGTTCAAATATTTTTTCTTTCAAACTAGACATTTAGGTTTCTTTTGACTTTCCATTCGAAATTATAGAACAAGGTTTGGAAAAGCAAAGAGTTATGTCAACAACAGATAATCCTAAATTCGTTATATTTTTACAAATCAAACAACTTAATGCTTTATTTTTAATTTTTCAAATTCACATACGTATTGTGTAAATAAAGCTAAATTACACTATCGGCGGACGGCGATTATCGTATATATATCAATAAATATACTTATGCATGTTTGACGTTTATTAAATATTTTACAATTATGCAAAATGTTTAAATTTTACCAAAATATGGTTTGTACAGTAAAAATTTGTTCGAACCGAAACGGTACCTAAACGTATTTTTTTTTACGAACCGGAATGCTAAAAAAATGTTTGTTGTGAACCTATTCATTTCGAGCCCTGAACGAGAACAAAAGTAATTTGTCCACGGCAAAAAGATAAGTTCAACGCGTCGTTCAGAACGTTACGCGGACCGCACAGCCGTGTCTTGCCGCCGACGCGTGGGACCATGAGCGGTAAAATCGTTTACGCGTAACGTCGTGAGAAAATCGGCGAGTGCGACTTCTCCACTGGAGAATATGCATGGGCATATATGTATTGTACATACGCACACATAATTTGTTGGGCATAATTTCTTCCGAAACGCCGAGTTTTCGCATCCAGTCGACGCACGTTATTATTACTATACTCTGTCACCGCCGTAGGGAAAAAAAAACAGTGTTTATTGTTGTCGTCGCGCGGGAACCTTAACAATCGCTGCGCATACACTTACGGGCGAGCTCGAGTGCGTCTTCTCGGGGCCGCCGATCGAAACGATTGTCCGGCCGAGCCGTGACAGTTGCGCGCGTACGATGATTTACAGCCCCCTCGGCCGACAGCCCAACGATATTTATTGATTTTTAATAGTGCCGCTTTTTAACGCGTCCTGCCGCCGCCGCCGCAGCGGCCGACACGGCATATTTTAAACGCGTACGGAACACGTCTACGGCACAATGAGCGGGTGAGAGACGGAAAAGCATATACAGCGCGCGCGCATTGTGTAGACGGACCCGTCCGCGGGCTCTTTTCGTTTGGACGCACAACGTCTGGGCACACCCGGCCGCAGTAGTATCGTTTCACATTGTCGCGGGTCACTGTTATGGAAATACTTTGATATCGTCAATGGGATCTGCGTCGAAAAATAATACGCACTCTCACTGCTGTTTCGGCCGGCCACTGAAGTCTGATACTCCCCCCCCCCCCGCAGACCGTCCCGAGGCTGTCCTTAACCCTTTCTAGTCGCTCCTTAGTCTTTTAGAACTTAGAACTTTTAACCAGTAACTGTCTTCTTTGAACTTTTTGTGCAGGGCTGCGTCAGAGTTCGGCACTCCACCATTTCCCCGGAGAAAAGGACACGAAGTTGTAGTTAAACAAACACCGGTATTGTTATTAACACTAGGTTATGGAACGGGGATGTAAAGTTAAACACGATTATTTCTGCGCCATAACATTTTCATCGTCATGGACGCAAATGTGTTTTTTGTCATCGATTTACCCGTCGTGTACGTTCAACGTGCGCGCACGGGAAAAGACACTTTCCGGGTCTCCGCGTAAACAATTTCGGCGGCAACGGTTGAGTTGACAACAAATTTGCAACGGTGATGCTGAATTATATTTGGTTTTTTTTCATTTTTTTCGTTTAAAACCGTCATGAGATCGCGGTAAAATAAGTGCAGACGTTACGTTTCCGATCCCGTGAAAATGCGTTCGGGAACGCGCCAAATGCATAAACGCTGGGAGTAACCGCATTGGTTCCCATTTGGCTGAATTGGTTCCCTTATGAAAAAGATATTTCATTAGGTATAGCCGAATTAGTTTCCGTTTATGTACAGGTAAAATAGTGATAATTTTAATTTTTAACAAAATTTACCTACACTATTAAAAATTAAAATCCTGCGGGCCAGTGCATAGAGAGCAAAAAACAAAATTCTAAAAGCTATATATATGACAAATAGACACAATTATTAAATCGATAAGATAGAGTATAGAAATATAATAGACTATATATTACTAGAGACTAGCAAATTACAATCAAACAGGAAAGAAATAATAAATGCTTGGAAAATTTTATAACTAAGTACATTAATATGAAAATTACGAAAATTAAATATTTATAGAAAGTTAAGTTCAAATTTGCAAATCAGTGGTTTGAAATTGTATTTATTATATATTATTATTTGTATTTCGTTCACCTAAGTGATGACTAGTTGACTTCCAAATAAACGATTTAAAATTGTATAGATTTATCATTTTTTTTTTAACACACATAAACGCACATTGTTAACTAAGCCTACTTAAAAGTTAACAGTCCTAAGCCTGTAAAATTGATTAGGAAAATGTGCGCATTTCGGCTATACTTAATGAAATACCTTTTTCAGATGAGAACCAATTTGGCATGTGGGGTTGGACCTCGGGAACCAATTCGGTACCAGCCCAAACGCTACCCCCAACGAAGAAGGACTCTCGCCCACCCCGGTTTCCGGGTATACATACGTGGAACGACAAATCAAGTAGCAAACACACCGGGTCTAATTGCGTCCGTGTTCGATAATACCATAATAATAGGTTACGCCTACGAGGTACGCCACGGGAAGGTGTGAGATTGTGCACGCCTGCACTGACAAATGCGGTCGTATTAAAATATTATAATATACATAATGATAATATACAACTATACATAATACCGTTTAGATGCTCAACTCGTATTGATATGATCGCCCGCAGGAAATTGTGCCCGCGCCGCCGTTTCGTATTCTTTCCAAAGCGAACAACGTCGCGCGCGCGTTTGATTTATAATTTAATTCGAAACTAATTATACGAAAACGGTCTCGTGAACGCCTTTTTTTCCTCCATCCGTTTCGCCGTTGCTCGTTCGTACTTGTACTTATGTAATGATTTCTGTTTCTCTATTTATTTATTTAATTTATTTTTTATTAACTTGGTTAAAACGCGTTCCCCGCAAGACAAATGTGTTCTCGTACCTCCCGGTTAGAATTGTAATTACGTTCACGCCGTCTTACGGTTGCGCTTGCGTACATCTGGACAACACATCGTGTAAACGGCGGCGCCCGCAGCCATTACAACACATAACAGCCGAGTCCTTCGTTTGTACGGGAGCAAAACGCGTACGATAGTCATTCGCGTCCGTAACACTGAAACAGGTATCTGTTTCGTCTGACCGAACCGACATTATATCGCAAGCTCGAAAGCGCTGACTAGGTTTGGTTTATTAACGTTCGAAATGCAGCCAAAGCTCAATGTTGTAGTGGTACCAAAACGTTATCGTAAAGTACTCTATATGATTAAGATAGATTCAGTTTCAAAGCTTTATGGAGAATGCGAAATAGTGGTTAGGTTAGCGAGCAGAGAGAACCAGAGCGTACGAAAGGTGACGTGACAAGCAAACGAGTAGGCATTTTGAAGTTTAAGAGAACGAGATTGGTTCAGAAAGTCGACTACACGTAGCTACGTTAGAATAATAAGAATAAAAGAGTTTGGCTGATTGTTGGCGAGGCTGGTCATTTTATCGTGCATACATTTTTCGAGTAATTGGCAAATTTCACTATTATAAAAGACCCCTGACGTCTTATTCTTATTATCACCGTTTGGGAAGAAAATGGTCACGACGTAATACGTTTAATTAAAATAATTTTAACACACCAGACCAGAGGTGCGTTACCCCAGCACCCGCACTTTCGAAATCATGAATTGTAATCAAGCAGTATTATGTACTTTATTTTGTACAATTTTGTACAACCAAAATTAAATTTTGTACAACCCCCGAACCTCCCCGAAATTCAATTTCATTTTATGGGTGCTGGGGTAACGTTACACCAGCACCCGGATCAACTAATTTTAACAAATTTCAACTTTAAACCGTACAGTATTATGTATTTTATTTTGTACAATTTTGTACAATCCCCGAACCTCCCCAAAATTCAATTTCATTTTACGGGTGCTGCGGTAACGTTACACCAGCACCCGGATCAACTATTTTTCATAAAAGTTAACAATAAACCGAACAGTATTATGTACTTTATTTTGTAAAATTTTGTACAACTAAAATTAAATTTTGTACAACCCCCGAACTTCCCCGAAATTCAATTTCATTTTAAGGGTGTTATCGCGTTTCTTTTATCAATATTGTATCTAAGATACTTTTATCGAATATACGAGATTTATATATTAATATCATATTACATTTTTATATTTTTTAATGAATGATTTATTTTCTGATAAGAATAACAAAAAAAAAAAAAAAAAAAAATCGGAGAGTATCTACATTATATGCAGATACATCGGTACATATGTCTTGTTTCTACTAAATACAGTTGACATAAGAATGTTAACGCCGATTAGGTATTAGATACTAGGATTAAGCTGTAGGTAACTTTTTTAATACGTGTAAAAAATAAACAAGGTTCAAAGACCGCATGTTAAATATTTTTTTGAATATACATTTTATTTTAATTTAAATTACAGAATCGTCATTTATAATACTTTTAGTGATTAATAATAAAGAACGGTATAGTGAATTTTGGTTGTACAAAATTGTACAAAATAAAGTACATAATACTGTACAGTTTAAAGTTGAAATTTGTGAAAATTAGTTGATCCGGGTGCTGGTGTAACGTTACCGCAGCACCCTTAAAATGAAATTGAATTTCGGGGAGGTTGGGGGGTTGTACAAAATTTAATTTTGGTTGTACAAAATTGTAAAAAATAAAGTACATAATACTGCTTGATTACAATTCATGATTTCGAAAGTGCGGGTGCTGGGGTAACGCACCTCCAGACTAGGCCGAAAAACTGTTATCAAAGGCGTGGTGATAATTATTATCTTAGGTGTAAATGTGATGCGATTGTATAACGTATATAGTATGTGTAAGTAAACATTATAACTATGAGTCTAGGGGTGCACGGGAAATGTATGTCCACCCACACAGATTTCGATTTCTGACATTATTGAGTAATAAATCATCCACGCATTTCCTCGAAAATTTCTATTTTTATTTCATGCAGTTGCGTAGCCAGGATTTTTCTTCGGGGTACGCTGATCAATTTTTACACAGCGGTAGTTTAGTTTTTCACGACTGATGCACAATATTATATGCATTAAATACCTACTACCACAGATAGATAGCTGTTAAGTGTTAATACGAAAATTTTTAAATATTCATACTTTTTTAGCGATTTTCATAGACCATTAATATAATTTTCTTAATATTTCGGGGGATGGACCTGTACCCACATCAGCCCTTCCTCTTGACTATGCCACTGATTTCGTGTATAAACAAAAAACCGTTCTCGCGTTGGCAGTATAAAGCGTACCTGTTATTAGCGACGCTTGTACGAGGTAAAAAACACTAGAACGACGGAATATATTATTGGTAGGTTTTTGACGGGAAAAGAAATAATGTAACAAAAGTAAAATTTAAATCGACTAGACCTCATGCTGTAACTATTACATGCGTCAATTGCGAGCGATAAGGTTTCTAGGTGTAAACACGTGTTGTAATATCTAGGACCTCGTTGATTTAATTAAGCTCAATATTAAAATTTAATTATTTCGTGCACTATTACTATATTGAACCGTTTTACTTACGATAGATCATTGAAAGTAATAGGTTACTTTCAGCAGCAATATCTGTCGGCTACTACGCACAGCAAAATATTGGAAATTAATCCGTTCGTTAATCCTTAGTTTTCCGAATACTATCATGTTTTCGATTAGATTCCATGAACGTTTATATAACTATTGGCTTATTGCATTTATGTATGATGTTATATACGTAATACACGCGTACATTTATATACTCTTATATATAAATCGAATATTATAATATTCTAATATAGAAAGGGTGGCGAACCATTTTTTTGGTTCAAGTGCCAAATTTTCCCAATTAAGAATTTGAAAATCGTTCACCTGCTCAAAGAAAATTATATTTTTTAAGAATGAAAATAAAATTACAGATTTATTACATTATTTTTATTGAATTTTAGTCAATCTTAGTGAAACACAAGGAGCAATCATTTCATTGGTCAAACAATATATTTCCTTCGATTTAATTTAATTCGTTATGGCTTTCCCAAACATAAGTTGACGAAAAATATGAAAGCATAAGGAATATTGTAATTTTTAAAATACATAAAATATTAATATTAATATAAATAAAGTAAAAAAAAAAATAATAAAAATAATATACAAAAATATATTATTTGATTCTTTGAATTTTTTATAACCAACATTTTCTAAATAGTATAATTTTTTTTTTTGTGCACAAGTTTTAATAATTTAAATTTTTTGCTCGTGCTATTAAAATTTGGTCCACGTGCCATAGATTAGCCACCCCTGTATTATAATATATTTACTGATTTATTGTTATTTAATTTTCAGAGTACTCAATCATTGGTACTAAAAAAAAAAAAATGTTTCAAATATATTACGATTGGATTGTGAAACAGTGTGTTATTTAATTTGTGATGTAGTGTTCAACAGAAAAAACTTAGTTTGATGATAAATTGAGAGTCCACTGTTTGCAGGATTGCCATCGTTTCATCATTGGAATAATAAAACATTTTATCAAAATAATCGAAATCGTTCGCTACCAACATTTTTTAGACACCGTTTAAAAGTGGAAAAGATTTATATAGGTAGACATAAAGACCGGTGGCTACTCACATCGTATCTGATTTACAATTTGAATAAAAACTGCAGCATATGCATTTCCAAATGAATGTCGTGGCACGAGAAGTAATAAAACGAATAGAAAAAAAAAGTGTAATTTTTATAAAACGATTATCGCCTCGCTCCGATCAATCGGTATAATAATAATAATAATAATTATAATAATATGTAAACGAGTATACACATACGTTAACAGTTGTGACTGCGGTTGCACGCGTGCATATATATTTATAATAGTATAATATAATTCCAGCAGGCTCGTTAAGATAGATCAATTACGGATAAATCGATGGCGGTCGCCGATAAACCGACCACGTTTGTGAATGCGCGGCGGCCCGGACGAAATACGATTTATTAGTTAGTCAATATACATACTGTCAATACAATATACGCTTGTCGATTTCACGCGTTGCGCACACATCATGCAGTTTGCGCGTACAATATTCAAGTTTGCCGACGGACGAAAAAACATTCGAAAACAAATTTTGTTTTATATTCAATACGAAACAGGTCAGGCATAAATGATTTGAAATTATGACAAAGAAATTATAATGAAATTTAAAACGTGTCTTTTTGGTAAAATTCAAATTAAAATAGAATCCGTATTTCGATCGAATGAATTGTTTTACGATAGGTACGATAAATGCACACAATGTAATAAAGTGCAAAATCTAACGAAAATAAAACCTTTTTTTGAACGGGCACTTGCAGAAACGGAAGACTGGATAAATCCTAATAATTCCAATGTACACACACACACATCTAATTTTCCAAAAATAACAGCACTCCGATGTTACTATCTATGTATTCATCTATTTATCTCTACTCTAAAGACACATTTGTTTTTAGATCTTCGACGGGTCAACATGGCTTTTACCTAAAAAAATAATTCTACCTCTCCTCTATTCCTATATCGTAAATTTATCTCTACAGAATCGGCAAAAAAAAAATCGGTTGTTGTGATGGATTTCATCGGTAGGGTTGTCACCACATTGATTTCAGCGTAAATTTATGTGGTTTGGAATTTCACTCTTTTTATAATGGATTTACATGATATTTGGTAGGACGATGTTTTTATATTTTTATTCTATCGTCAAATTCAATCTAATTTTCTTAACAATTTTAGGAAGACCAGTTTTTCAATTAATGACGCGTACATGATTATTAAATGTTTAAATCTTATCAGTCAGTAGATTTCGTACTACCTTTTTTTTCTTTCAGAAAACCCATTTTTCCCCATCAGGTATCTGGACGAATCGACTATTATTGCCTTGGCAGATGATTTATTTTGTATAACCCGTCCGTATCGTAATAATGGGGGATCCGTGCCACCCTGTATACGAAATAAATAAATAATTAAACGAAATACTCGTAGTGTGTATAAGACTCG